GACAACTCAATAGTCACATGCAAAATAGTGAAGTTGGACCCAAACCTCACACCATTTACAAGAATTAATTAAAAATGAATCTATGACCTAAATGTAAAAACTAAAACTATACAATATTTAGAAGAAAATGTAGGTATAAATCATCTTCACCTTGGATTAAGCAATGGTTTTCTGGATTTTGCAAAAGTGACAAAAGAAGAAATAGACACATTGAACTTCATTAAAATTAAAAACTTTGTGCCTCAGCAGATACCATCAATAAAGTAGAAAGACAATCCAAGTAAAAAATATTTGTAAATGGGATATCTGATAAGCGATGTGTGTCTAAAAGGTAGAAAGAACTTTTACAAGTCACCAATTAAGAAATGAATGACCCAATTTAAAAGGGGCTAAGGATTCTAGTAAACATTTCTCCAAGGAGGATACACAAATGGGCAAAAAGCATATGAAAAAGATGTTCAGCATCATTAGTCATGAAGGAAATCAAATCAAAATTTATACCCACTAGGATGACTAGAACCAAAAAGACAGTATGTGTTGGTGAAGATGTGGAGAAATGGAGCCCTCATACACTGCTGATGGAAATGTAGAATGGTACACCTGCTTTGGAAAACAGTTAGGCAGGTCCTCAAAATATTCCTCATAGAGGAACCCTCTTCTACTCCTAAATGATATGTCCAGAGAATTGAAAATGTATGTCCACATGAAATCTTGCACATGAATGTTCATAACAGCATTGCTCAAAAATAGCACAAAGGTGAAAAAAACCCAAATGTTCATTAACTGATGAGTGGATCAGTAAAGTATGGTGTGTGTACATGGAGTATTATTCAGCCATAAAACATAAAATTCTGATAACTGCCACAACATGGATGAACCTCAAAAAGATTTTGCCAAGTGGAAGAAATTAGACACAAAGACCACATATTTTATTATAGCATTTATACGAAATATCCAGAATAGGCAAATCCATAAAGACAGAAAAATAGATTAATGGTTACCAGGGCCAGCGGGGAAGGGGAGAATACAGAGTGGCTATAAATGGGTATGGCATTTGTTTTGGGGGTAATGAAGATCTCTGGAATTAGTGGCAATGGATACACAATTGAATAGTAAAACCACTGAGTTGCATACTTAAAAAGACTGAAGTTTATGATATGTGATTAATATCTTGTATTAATTAAATAGTAAGTGACTAGTTTTTAAAGAAAATCTTTTGTATGCTATGAATGGCAAATTCAAAAATGGAAGGAATAAATGCCTGATAAAATTCAAGGAAATTTTGGTAAAGGAAAATTATCCTACAGGTAATAATACCTATTTTAGTATTTAAAAAGCAAAGAATGTGAAGCTCTCACTGGAACAGACCAAAAAAAAAAAAAAGAAAAGAAACTTAAAGTCTAGAGAGACCTAAATATATATATTAAGAAAGTAATATATAGTAGAGATAGTGTTTCTCCTCAGTGGCAAAACTATAGATTATTTACAAAACAATGGTGTTCAACGCCTTTATCAGTTGGCATCTTGAGTTGAAACAGCAGAAAATAATTCTGGCAAGCTTAAGCAGAGACGAACTAAGTTACAGAAAGGATATCAGGCAGCTCAGAGGCTGACAACAACCCAAAGACACTAAGCTTGTGGCAGAGCCTCCCTCACAGCTGGACTAGGAGGCGAGGGTGCAGGACTCTCAACCCCACCTGTGCCGTCACACGAAATTCTGACCATCCTTGCATGTTCCTGTCATTCCCTTATGACTATGAGATGCAGGCAGAGCCCAGGCCTGCATCTTTACTGCTAGTGGTGGGGAAAAGGTATGTGTCCATCTTGGATACTGTTGTGGGAGGTAGCACCAACCCAGATAGGTGGTGTCCAAATGCTGATGAGCCAAAAGTAACAGATTTCCACTAGCATTTAGAATAGCTAAAATTAGAACCATCCTTTGTATCATAGACCAAAATAAATTCCACATGAAGTCAGAATGTACATGTAAAACTTGAGACCATGAAAGTGCTTGAAGAAAATACATGTGAATATTTATGTAATCTTGGTTTAGGAAAGTTGTTGAGCATTATATAAAAATCAGAAAGCCTTAAAAATGTTGGTATAGAGTATTAAATTACCCAGAAAGGGAATTGTCATCTGTTAAATTTAAAAATAAAAAACTAAAATACTATATTCCAAAACACTTAACCATGTGTTTCTCTGGATGATGAGACTAGATAGAGATGATTGTTCCTCTCTCCTTCCCTTTCCTCTCTTCAAGCTGTTTTTGAATTTGGAAGGTGAGTGATCTGGTTGTTGGTCTGTAAGAACACGTAGATCCATGGATCTTCCTAAGTAAACATCATGCTGAACACTACAAAGTAGAAATGACTGTCTAAGGAGCAGGTGATGCCAGTGGTGTTTAGACACCCTAGTTTCTATAAAAATAATGTAAAATGGCTATTGGAACTTGCTCCATTTGGTGGCACTTGAAGGAAGGAAAACCTGAATAATTGGATGCTGACTATAAGAATGCCCCTCCTCGAAAGGTTGTGATATATCTTACGTCCTACATTATTTTTTTTTAGTATCATTAATATGCAATTACATGAGCAACATTGTGGTTACTAGATTCCCTCCATTATCAAGTCCCCACCACATACCCCATTATAGTCACTGTCTGTCCGTCAGCGTAGTAAGATACCATAGAATCACTACTTGTCTTCTCTGTGCTATACTGCCTTCCCCGTACCCCACCCCCTTATGTTATGTGTGCTAATTGTAATGTCCCTTTTTCCCTTTATCCTTCTCTTCCCACCCAACCTACCCAGTCCCTTTCCCCTTGGTAACTGTTAGTCCATTCTTGGATTCTGTGATTCTGCTGCTGTTTTGTTCCTTCAGTTTTTCTTTGTTCTTATACTCCATAGATGAGTGAAATCATTTGGTACTTGTCTTTTTCTGCCTGGCTTATTTCACTGAGCATAATACCCTCTAGCTCCATCCATGTTGTTGCAAATGGTAGGATCTGTTTTCTTCTTATGGCTGAATAGTATTCCATTGTGTATATGTACCACCTCTTCTTTATCCATTCATCTACTGATGGACACTTAGATTGCTTCCATTTCTTGGCTATTGTAAATAGTGCTGCAATAAACATAGGGGTGCATATGTCTTTTTTTGGAACTGGGCTCCTGCATTCTTAGGGTAGATTCCTAGGAGTGGAATTCCTGGGTCAAATGATGTTTCTATTTTTAGTTTTTTGAGGAACCTCCATACTGCTTTCCAGAATGGTTCCAGCAGTGTAGGAGGGCTGGTTCCCCTTTCTCAACAACCTCACCAACATTTGTTGTTCTTTGTCTTTTAGATGTTGGCCATCCTTACTGGTGTGAGGTGATATCTCATTGTGGTTTTAATTTGCATTTTTCTGATGATTAGCGATGTGGAGCATCTTTTCATGTGTCTTTTGGCCATCTGAATTTCTTCTTCGGAGAAGTGTCTGTTGAACTCCTCTGCCCATTTTTTAATTGGATTGTTTGCTTTTTGTTTATTGAGGTGCGTGAGCTCTTCATATGTTTTGGATGTCAACCCCATATCGGATCTGTCATTTATGAATATATTCTCCCATATCGTCCTTCTCCATTGTTTTTTGTTTGGGTTTATTTTGTCTCGTTTTTAAGAGAACCCATCTACTTGACTAGGACTGCACTAGTTCATACTCAGGGTATTGGTGTCTAAGAGGAAGCCTCACAGATGGAAAAGATTCTGTGTGTGATCATTATTGTGGCCTATATTTTATCACTTCATGCTTATACCTACAAATAATAAGTAGCAGCCCTTAGATCCCTTATACCTTGTTCTCTCTTATCTTGGTTAACATCTATTTGACATGAAAGACTGAGTGGGTTCTTCCTATGTAGAGGTGAGTCACCCGACTGGAATGAAAGGCTGCTCTGTCAAGAACAGAGACCTTGACACGAAAGGATGCAGGGAACCCTTCATGTTCCTTGAAGGCCTATCATTGGCATGTTCTGGAAACACACCAAGAGATCTGGAGGAGCTAGGAAAGGAAGAGAGAATACAGAAATGGCCACTTGTCCCCACCCTTGCTACTCCATGACTTTTCCTCCTTATAAAATAAAAATAATCGTTATGGCTTTGAATTTTTTTTCTAATTGCCTTTAGCCATTACTAATAAGAAGACATGAATCAGTAAACATGACCTGGGTGGGATTTTCTAGTTGAAATTGTCACGATCTAAAAGGTCTGCATTAAAAAAATACATATAAAAATATATGTGAAAGACTTATAATAGATGCTTTTTTCTATGACTGTTTCCTTAGGGGACCCATTGAACATTTCTGTTATTTTTACTTCCAGTCATGAACAGCATGACTTTGAATTTCAGTAAGTTTCAAAGTCTCCATGCCTTCAGCTGTCATGTTAATAGAGGAACCCCATTGCTCTGGAATCAAACTGGTATATTACTGTTTTTCATATTAGATGGCTTACTTAAATAGTTTTACCTAAGTCATTCTGAGAGATGGGTATAAAAGAGCCTGGGCATATGTGTGTTTTTTGAGCTACACATTTCATGAGAACTTTTGTGGTTTTCTCATATTTAAATTTTCTTCTATTTTTCTCATGTTTTGGTAATTTGGAGCAGGTAGCAGCTATATAAAAGAAAAAAAAGTATTTCTTTTTTTCTGCTAGAAGCTAGGAAGAGTTCTTACCCACATTTCCTTGGCAGTTAAAGTATGAGGTTCTTGCTCATTGTTCATGGAAGCTGTTGATGCTCTGGTGAATGCAGTATTAGTGCAACAGTGCTTAGGCATGGGGGGAGAGGCAGGTCTGCCCCTTTGACTTCCGGCAGCAGGCTCGAAGGGACAGGAAGGTGTAACTCAGTGAGGAGAGGAGCGCATGCACCCAGGGGGTCTCTGAGTGGTGAGGGCTCCTGCCTGCCTAGCAGCCTCAGTGGCTCCTGGGTGCGACTCACCCATGCTTTGCTTTTCTCTTTCCAGGAGCTGCCTATTGCCAGTTCATGGACATGCTGTTTCCAGGCTGCATTAGTCTGAAGAAAGTAAAATTTCAGGCAAAGTTGGAGCATGAGTATATTCACAATTTTAAACTTCTGCAAGCATCGTTTAAGCGAATGAATGTTGATAAGGTAGGAAACTAACTGGTACCACCATAAAATGCATTGTCTTTCCTTGAAATTATTTTTGTGCAGAAATGAAAAAAAAATCCAAAAAAGTTACCAGTGGGATATATATGTCTTTGATATTGGAGAGGATCTGTACATAACATAAACATCAACCTTTCCTTCCCATATTTGTATGAGTCTTTTCTTCTTTTAGAAGATATCTAAATGTACAGCTGTTAGACTAAAAACTCTAACACAAATTAAAGTGTTAGAATGTCGTTATTCTGTTTTGACATTGCAGATGAGAAATTTTTCTTTTCCAAATGCTACTGTGGTTCTTTGCTTATTTTGTTTCTTTGGAGAAACGACATGTTACAGTAGAGATGGCATGGGTTTGCAACCCAGTGCTACGACCTGAGCACGTTACTGAAATTCTTCGGGTCTGAGTTTACCCATTCAGAAAATAGGACCAAAAGCCCATGGTTATGCTGTGGTTACGGAGCTAAATGAGGGAATGCACATCTAAGTAAGTACCCAGCATAATGTACACACTCAGATTCCCAGTGTCTGTGAATTGTTCTTTTTTTCCCCTTTGAATTTTAAAATTTTGTCCAACAGTAATAAGTAGACTGGAGTCCTCCTGCCCCCCGCCCCCCCCTCAACGAAGGACTCTTTCTGAAGTCGACTTGGTCTCTGAGTGTCCCTGCTATTCAGATACATACTCAGTCCACATGCTTTATTTAGGCTGTATCTCTTAGAGGGAGTAGGTTTGGAAAGAAATGACTTATGAATAAGGGAAAAGGGAAAAACCAGCAGGGGAGAAATGGAAGGTTTTTCTTTGCATAGATAAATAGGTCATGGGAATTAAAAATTAAATACTGGGTTATAAGAGTTAAAGTTAGAGGAAAAGAGATGAGTTTGCTGAACTGTATTTTTTCAAATTTAATGTGATTAATATCTTTCTAAATCAAAGTAATATTTATTAGAGTATTAATAAAATCTTGACCTCCCATTTCCTCAGAATTTTAATTTCAAAGCACATTACGTCCTTTGCCGTGGTTAGTTTCCAGTTAGCTCCTTCCATACATATTCAGAACCAGAACTCTATAGGTTCTCCTTACTACTACCAGTGTTGCTTGTTATACATTGCTATATCATTTCTCTATACATGCTTCTAAATTGGAAAGAAACACTCATTCATAGATTTATTGATAAAACTTGCTATATAACAAATTAGAGGACTCCATTTCTGTGTAGAAGTGTACACACAGAGAATGGATGAGTAATTCTAAAGAATGTTGAAGATCAAATTCTTATAGTGGATGGAGACTGACATTAATGACCTTTGTTGGCCTCCCAGCCTCATGTGCTCTGATCTACCCAGCGGTCCTTGGACAGAGACGGTGGGCCCTGTTCACATTTGTCATATCCTGACAGCATGTGGGGGGCTTCTGTGCAAAGATGTGCTTGCCACCTCAGATTTTGAACTTAGGCCCCCCTCAGAACTTTTATTTTGATAGGGAATGCAAAAGTACATCAATAAGAAGCCAGTGCCTACTTTGCGCAGCTAATGTAGCACCATCATCTAAAACTGGTTTATAAGTTTCCACATTTGGCAGAAAGCATAGTAGCATGTTAATTAAAGGGCCTCATGTTCTCAGACAATATCAGCATAAGCAAAGCTTATAAATTAGAAGACATGAAAATAATTAAAGAGTACATGTGCAAGGAATTCCTCTGTGTGGCAGACGTGGCTGAAATTTGGAAGGAGTGAGAGGGGACAAGGATCAGCCACGTCCTCCTCACTGCCAGGGTGTTCATGAAAAATGTGATCTCCAAAAGCTTGCTTCTCTCTATTTTGTTCTATATTTGATTTAGTTTCAAAGTTAGCTTCATAAATACCATCACTTAAAAATCCATTGCTAATGATTTAGTTTCACGGGCAGTCTAAAATGTTTCCATTGCTGTTTTTCTTTCAAGTTGTCATTGATATTTAAGGTCTTCTACGTTTTCTGAGTGCTCCTGATGATCCATTTTAGGTTATGAGTGGGATGTAGCTCCTGAGGCTGCCGGGCCTTGCTGGAGATTTGATTTACACAGTTCTGTTCATTCTCACTGTGCAACTGTGTGCTTTGGGCACTAGCTTTCTGTCTGATTCTTAACATTGACACTCACGAACACACAATCTGACCCTCTCCCTGGCTTTGTAACGCGCATGGCTCATGTTCAGCTCGTATTCCAACATGAAGATGAGGGAAGTAAGAATCTGGCAGTTGTGCAGTTTGGATAGCTAAGTACTTTTCCATTTTCCTTAAGAAACTGCTGTGTACTGAATTAAAGCTGAGCAAGCACACCATATTTTTTCCTGTCATAATTCTCAAAATTCCTGTAAAACCTCTAAAGGGAATAACCATTGGCTCTAGGGTACCAGGAAGAAAGGCTCCTCCGTAAAAAGCTAAGATTCGTCTCAAAGGTTGATATGGATGCTGTGTGCCATGTCCTCCAGAATACCTGTAGGATCCCCTTCATCAAACTCAGTTTCTTTCCTCTGCCCCCCATGGCACATTAGCCCTGCTTCTATGCAGCCTGTGAATGACTAGGCCCTGTATTGTCGTTAATTGTTTTTATGCTTGTCTATCTCTGTTGAGATAAGCTCCACAAAAGCTCATTTTGTTTCATATGATCCGTTAGCGAGTATATGTTTTTGTTAATTTGAATCTTACTCATTCACAGTCTCTTGGAACTGTAATCCTTCTAAGAGTTTGTTCCAGCACAACTGGACCAAGTGTTACAAAGAGATAAGGAAAACTCCCTAACCTTGAAGCAGCTCAGCATTGCAGGCCCATGTGTTTTTGGTGAGATGCTCTGGCAGTAAACATACTGTGACAAGGATCAGCCCCCCTTGACAGATCAGGGAGTTCCTTCTTTGTCTGGATTGGTCAGAAGTATTAGATATTCCAAGATAACCACCTACAATATTTTATTGTAGTTTTTCTTCAATATGATGAAAAAGTACATGAATTCTAGAACACAGCTGTCTAAGAAACTGTGGGAGACACTAGTAGTCATGAATGCAGACATGTAGGAATAGTTATATTTAGGTAACACATCAATCATATTAATACCAGCAAACCTGAGGTTTGTGACTCACAAGGTGCTTTTTTTATTGCAGGTAATTCCAGTGGAGAAGCTAGTGAAAGGGCGTTTCCAGGACAACCTGGATTTTATTCAGTGGTTTAAGAAATTCTATGACGCTAACTACGATGGGAAGGAGTATGACCCCGTAGAAGCACGACAGGGGCAAGATGCACTTCCTCCTCCCGACCCTGGCGAGCAGATCTTCAACCTGCCGAAGAAGTCGCACCATGCGAACTCTCCCACAGCAGGTATCCCAGCAGTGAAATCATAGTCACTTTCACTTTAGAAAATGGCTCAGGCCCCACTGGCTTTACTATGTCTGATCAACTTCATGACAGTATCTTTACAGCTCTAGACGATTGTAATTCTTGTCTGTTTGGTCACATTTGTCTTCCTAACAGTGACCTATCTAATAAGTCTAATGATCACAATTTAAACTATTTCACATTATATCACTGAAGCTGTGTTAAAATAATACTCCAGAGAGAAATTTCATTTTATCTGTATTTTTTTCTGAGAAATTTCAAGTGTGTTTAGATTTCAACTGAAATATTTTTTCTGCTTAATTGCTGGCTGTACAGACAGAATATGAACTTATTTATACTTTTAAACATGGGTCATCATCTATAATCTTTCAAAAGAAATTCATGAAATATGTATCTATTCTCTTGTGTGGTAAGTGCCAGTTGTTGTATGTTAATAGTCAGCAAGACCTCGTTTATTTCTCTTCATCCACAAGCGAGGTCATTAAGGATAAATACACAGAATGTTCAAATTGTTTAAACTTTTGTGGGTAAAAACCTTTCAAAACTGTATTCATAAACATTCTTCCATAAAAAAAAGATTTTTGCTATACAGAGTGTGTTCTTGTAAAATTAGGGTCATTATTCTAAAACACCAGTTGTGGTACTGGACATTTAAACAATGAAGTCTTCAGAAACAATTTGTTTCTGAAAACCAGTGCCCACACTTGTTAAATCAGTAACATTAGTTTTGTAAGTAACACAGATTCCTTATTTTATACCCAGCCTTCAATCAGAATTGATTAGAAATGGTTATAAGAGCACTAATACTAAACATTGCCTATGTCTAAAACTCAAAAGACATGTGGGCTGGAGGGAAATTTGTGAGTCTTCCCTGCATCCATATCACTGAAGCTGGAAGGGAGGAGGGAAAAGTGCCTTGAGGCGCTCTAGCCCCTGATGTTCGGGTAGAACAGAGACCCTTGCATAGGGGCAGGGAAGGTGCCAGGAAGACTGAAGGAAATGAGGAAATGACATGTCAGAGAAGCAGAAGGAAGGGAGCAGAATGATCAGCAGTGTCTAAATCTGCTGAGGAACCAAGTAAAATAAGGACTGGACGAGTCCATTGGGTAACTCAACTTGGGGGTCATTCAGTGGGATGATGGGACACAACTGGGTTGAGAACTTGGAGGAAGGAAATTCAGATAGAATATAAATCCATAGAATGAGTGAGCTTATATAGAATAAAAGCACAGATTTGGGGGCATACATACATTTAAAGGGCAAGAAGAAAAAGAGGAGGCTGAGAAAAAGATGAACATCGGTGGGGGGCAGGGGGGTGGAAACAGTAAAGCTCAGCCTCAGAGAACAAACAGAAAGTTTCTAAAAAGAGGGATCGCCAACAGTGCCAGATATTAATTGTGAAGAGATCAAACAGTATAAAGGCTGTAAACAGGCCAAAGAAATCTGACTCTTAGGAGGTGATTAATAATCCTTTTGAGAATTGGTCTGTTGAAGTGCTGGGTGTGTACCCCTAGATGGTGACAACTTACCAAGGGCATGACATGGCAAATGTGGAGTTGATGTGGTAAGAGTAGATTCCACCTTCACCAAATTTGTCAGGAAAATTTTGAGGAAATCTAAAAACATTTTGGTGTTGGGAAGATTGGAAGGAAGATGGTATTGTCCTTGATCCATTCTTGTTTGCTTTTAGGACAAGACACAATGAGTATTTTGTGAGGTGGGAAAAGGAATAATTGAAAATACAAAAAAGGAGGGGAAATAGGTGGAACAAGGAAGGAGAAAATGAGGTTAAGGGCATAGATAGAGGTCTAGGGAGAAAAGAGATAGTACTTTTTTGGAACCGAAGTGCCAGTGAGAAGTGGGGTAAAAATTAAGCCACAAGGAGTTTGGAGAACAAAGATCTATGGTGGTTCAAACTGGCCTTCAACTTTTCTGAGACACTCATCAGACAGGAGACAGAGCAAAGAAGAGGAATGGCGCGTTTCATCCTAAGTCAGGGGCTCCACAGGAAAAAAAACACGGGTGCCTGGTATTTCTCATCTTAAGGTCTCTGTATAGCTGTTAGTGATCTACAGATTCATCTTTAACCTCAGCTGCCACTTTTTCAACTTTTGGTAGTGAAAGTGGAAAGGCCTCAAAAGAGTATTTTCTTCCATAATCCTAATGTACCCTTGAATTGGCACCAGCACTCTCCCTCCCCCATCAGAGCTGGCATCATACTGCTTGGCATCAATTTCTAAGAATTTCCTCATCTGTCCTTCATAAAAGCCACAGAGAAATTTGTCCCATTTTGATAGAATGTCCATGAACCTGAAGAGAGGTGTATTTTTTCCAGAGCTTAACTTCTTGGGTGACAAAGCTCAGGAAACACATTAAAATCAACAGATAATAAATTTGGTTTTTAATGTTCCAGAAGGCAGTAATCCCTGAGGAATTACTTGTGAAATTGTTAACTTGTGTTCCTGATACCCTGACCATGTTTACCTCATTAGTCTTAATAGTGATCAGGGGAAAAGGATGTTTTCAGAATCAAATCAGTTAAACCTTTTTTAATAAAGTATGTTCTGTCTGTAGGACATTGTGGGATGGAAAAGCTATACTGTGGAAAAAATTATAGCAAGGTGTACATCACATACAGAACGTTGTTTTCAAAGCTGTTACATGTAGGAGAAAAGTTACTGTATAAGTACTGTAAGAACTCAGTTTTCTAGAGGCCATGTATCCAACCCTTGGGAACACAGCCAAGAAAATATAAACCAAAATGTCTTCTAAGGTCAGAATAGGTGTTGTAAAATCTGTGCTATGAAACTCATGCATGTACACACAAGAGAGTTGCTCTTTCTTAATTTTGACATAATTGTAACTAACATAGGCATCTGGTTTCTCAGCACATAACTTGTGAGGGCAGGGGGTAGATGGACCCCAATAGAAAGTACAGACACCAGTGAGAGAAGAGCCAGAAGACTGAACAATGAGCCGCCTGCAACCTCTGTTACAGAAGCAGGTGGCGCCATGCCTCTCGGTGGCCCTCTGGGTCTGTATGACACCAGTGTGTACAAATCAGTACACTCAGAGTTCCCTTCTAGTTCTTAGGATGCTGTTTAATTTTCTCTTTATAATCACCTCCTCCATGAATTGTTTTACAGTCTCTAACCTGGCTCCTCTTGTCTAGAACTCAGGGCCATCTTCTTTGTACATTTGTCGAAGTTGTCCATGTAAAATTTAAGACGCATTGCTTGGTGAGGTGAGAGTCGGCTGTCTGGGAATTCCCAGATCTATATCACAGCTCACAGCGATACTAGTAACATTCACAGTAATTTAATTTCTGTTCCCATCTGTGAGCCTTGGTCATTTCTTAATTTATCTGCATTAGTGAAAATTGCTGGTATAATTGAAAATAGGAGATGGTCTTTATTTTTCATTTTGGCTTTGGAATACTTGATTCATTTTTGCAGGGATTTGTCTCTCCCCAAATATTTCCTTAGGCTGATATTACTATTACTTGCATTTCCTGATGTAATTAATACATCAAGGGCAGTAAACGGAAGCTCCAGAGCATCTTGTCGAAGGGGCCATATTAGAGTGGAAAACTGACCGTGGGATGGATTGTCCACATGTTGAAAATTAAGAAAGGACTGTTTACACTGGCAAGAGAAAAATTGTGTTTTGACACCATACAGAGTACTTACGTAGCCACACACCATGGGTTATTTGCCTGTGTGTGAAATAAATGCACTCCGCATACTTGGTAGATTCTTTTTCTAAGAACATGCTAGATTTTTCTACCATTTCAGTACAGACACCAAATGTTTTTCTGTGGATTCAGAGAAACCATAGAGCCTGTTGGTGTCTGTGTGTAGTTGGGTGACTTATCTGGACTATAACAAGATAAGCAGAGACTGTCACTTAAAGACGGAGGCCCCCTGGCAAATCTTAATCTATTCTATTTGTATCCCAAGGAATTGCATTTGAGTTGCTTTTTATCTATCAATGAGAAGCATGTATTAAAATACACAGTTTCATAATGATAAATATCTATTAAGTGCATGTATCACTGTGAGTCATGATGTGTGTAAATTTATTGCTATTAGCCATATATCTGCAACTTGAGATAGCTGTTCAGGAGGATCAGTTTTTATTGTGAACATTTACTAAACTTAAAAGGAAATTTGAAGTTACAGTTCCTATAGCAACTACAGCTTGACACACTGCAAATGCACATATATTAATGTTTTTAAATCATATTCTCATATACAAATGTAATGTGATAGATTTAGATTTGCTATGGAAATTGTGTCTGAGCTTTCTCTTTTTCTTAGGGACTGCAGTGTTCCAGTATTAAAATCAGATTAATAGAAATACTAGAAAAATGGTTTCAAAAAGGAAGCAACCTAAGAAATATAATAAAGTATTTGGTTATTCATAACTAAACCCCTAAAGCTAGATTTAAATTAAATCCAAGCAGTGTTTTTCAGAAACTGTTCATACAATCTTAAGGTTACTGTGTTTGTTGCATTATTTGTTTAGCAGTGTTTAACACGTTTGAACCCCTGAATCTAAGCATCGCTGGTCACCTTTGGGGAAAGCTGAGTTGCTTGTACTTGCCCTAGAAGTTTGTTTGTTTTTTAAGAAGTGGCAGTGAAATGTAGCATTTTATAGTGTTTTTAATCCTGTTCTGATTTTGATGTTATGGCCAGAATATGGTGTCTCCTGGCCCATGTATCACCTTGAAAAAATCATGCATTCCGCTGTTACCGGTTTTATGGTGTTTTAGAAATATCAGTTAGATGAAGATAGTGAATAGTGTTATTCAAATCCTTGTTTTTACTGATTTTTTTTGTTGTCTAGTTTAATAGTTGCTGCAGAGAGAATGTTGGCATTGATTGTGGAATTCTGTTTTTCCCTTTCTTTCAATTTTTGTTTCCTTTATTTAGGGGTCAGTTATTAGGTACATACATATTTATGATTGTTATGTCATCCTG